TGAGGCTTGGCAAGAGGGTGCATGAACTCACTGCACTGTGAGGGCTTCGGGACTCCCAGGAAGAGCTGGCAACCCCGGGGGGAAGAAGTAGCGGACTGTGTGCGATGGAGCGCTGGGATTCTTGTCCATATGTCTCAACAGGTTCTGCTGGGCTCTGACTGCCAGCAGGCCAGGTGGAGGGCAAGGCGAGGGTTGGGAGGGGTGGTAAGGCAGCTGGGAGTGGGAAGAGAGCTGGAGTTTTTCCTTAGGTAAAAATAAATAGAGCGGATATCTGATATTGCCAAACGCTGCTTGGCGGTGAGGAGAAAGTGGGTATTTTAAAGAAGGGCCATGGCTCTGGGTCCCAAAAATCAGAATCTTTGCCTTGCCCTGAAGAAGAAGAAGAAGAAAAGAGAATGGAAAAGAAAAGACAAAAATGTTTTTTTTTTTTTTTTTAAAAAAAAATCACCAGTGGGTATGTGGGGAGAGGCAGGGCTGGGCAGCCGCGGGCCCCGCTAAAGGTAGGGGCAGGAGGGCAGGACACACTTGTCCCCCGAGCACTCCATTCATGCTTTCTCTTTTGTTTACACTTCCTGAGGGCTTTCTAAATGACTCTGTTCACGCTGCCTCTCCTCTTCATTGGCTGCGCTGAGCGGTTATGTACAACTGGCCAGCAGGGAGGACAGGCCTCTTGGAGACAGCTCGGATAATCCACTTGGACCCACGGTCACCAGCATCTTAGTTTGTCTTCTCCCTCGGCCATGGCTCCTGTCCCTTGCGTCTCGTTAGGGAGGAAAAAAAATAATCAAAATCAAAAGGAAAAGAAAAATCGAAGCCGATTCACCGCACAGCTGACTCCGGACAGCGGTATTCCTTCCTCCGCAAGGCTCTTCGCGTCTTGCCTCTCTGTGGTTCAGTCCCCTACACTCGGCCCTCTCCTTCCCTCTCTCTCCCTCTCTCTCCCCTTCTCTCTCTCCCTCCCCTCCCTCTCTCTCACACACACATGCACACACACTGCTTTCTCTATTTCTCTCTGCTGAAATTTTATACCTCCCTCCCATGACGTCTCGGCCTGGGGTGGGGGAGGGAGGGAGGAGGGAGGGACCAGCGCACGCAGCCTCTCTTGCTACACGGTTTTAATGTTTTAAACAGGCACAGGAAAAGCCGAGCCCATTTGAAAAATACTTTGCGAGTTCTCTGGTTCGACGTGGTAACTGAACTTTTTTTTTTTTTTTTTCCTTTTTCCCCTCCTCTTGGAGTCATTCCTGCTACACGTTGGCTGTTTTTCTGGAAAGTTACTCCCGAGCCCCCTCCCTCCTGCTACCCCGGCCCCTCTGCGCCGGGGCCAGCTGTCAGTCCACGCTCCCCGCCCCGCTCTCTCTCGCCTCCCCCGCGTCCCCGATCGCCCCCGGGCCGGGCCGGGGACACACGCAAAGTCTGCAAAGGGGAGCGGGGCCGGGCGGGAGGGCCACTCTCTCCCGGCCCGAGGGTGGAACCCAGCTCGGCCGAGATCCTGGCTGCGGTTCTTCATTGACCATCCGGGAGCCCGGCGGCTGCAGCTCGGGTAAAATGATGGCGCTTTCCGGAAGGCCGAGGGTGCCCTCTGGCGAGGCCGGACCGCCAGTGACGGAGGCTCGGTGGCTCGACCCCGCGAGCACCACTAAGACCCCCGCCGTCAAGTCCCGGGGCCCCACATGCAAGTGAGCGCCCCTCCCTTCCCGGCCCGCCGGCCGACTCAGCACCTGGCCCCAGCCCATTTCCCAGTTGGGTTTCTAGGTCTTCCCCCCACCCCCCACCTCCCCAGGCCGAGCTGTCCACTGTCTTCCCATGTCTGATTATAGCCTTCTGGAGCCTTTCTTTCTATAGGTCCAGCTCCGAAGTCTCAAGTGAAGGATGTTACAACTGGGGAAACTTACAACTGGGGAAACTGAGGCACAATTCACTTTTTTTCCCTATGTAATGAAGATGTCTATCACCGGCTATCTAATCTGAAAAGGCATTATTTTGATTTGTAACTCGTATGACTATCTAGGAGGAAGTCCCAAGACCTTAAAAATGACTTCATTAAGGTCACACAGCTCTTAGGTGTCAATACCACCATTTGAACCCTGCCTGTCCATTGCCAGTCTGCACTTGGTGATGTTTGCTTCTGCAAAATCTATTTGAGAAATAGATTTGTTTTGTTTTGTTTTCGAGGCAGGGTTTCTCGATGTAGCCCTGGCTGTCCTGAACCTCAAGCTGTAGACCAGGCTGACCTTGAACTCACAGAGATCCACCCACTTCTGCCTCCTGACTGCTGGGACTAAAGGTGTGCGTGACCACC